ACCCAAATCTTGCCGAGAAATAAAAAAAATATTATTTAAGTTTTATCATGAAAACAAGTTTTTGCTTGGATATATATATATATATATATATATATATATATATATATATATATATATATATATATATATATATATATATATATATATATATATATATATATATATATATATATATATATATATATATATATATATATATATATATATATATATAGTAATTGCGTAAATAATTCTTGTTAAAGAGTGCTCAATATCAAAGTAGAGCAATTTATAATAAAAACTAAATAATTAGAACACTCGCTTTATTTAAAACATACTCACAGTTTCACGCAACAGTGGCGGATCCAAGGGGGTGGGGCAAGTAGGGTGGCTAGCCACCCACCTTCTTTCTTATCTAGGGTGGCTAGCCACCCACCTTTTTTCTTATCATAAAAAAATTTAGGTTGACCTTTTTAAGTTAATTAAGCCTAATAAATATCTATTGATATTTGATTTTGTTCACTGTTTAATTAAAAATTTTGTTATAATTTATTCCATAATTTTAACAAATAATTAGTAATTGTACAAACATTTAATGTTTTAAATTTTGTCGAAAAATACTTTTTGTATAACATTGTTTAATCCTTTACATAGTTTGTGGTTACAAAATTTCTATTAGTTACCGTTTATGGAAATATTTTTTTGGGCATGTTTTATTTTTTTTATTTTTTTCTCAAAGTCTTGAGAATTATATTAGCTAATGTAATTATCAAGTCTTTACCTCACCCCGCCCCATTTTTATTTAAATTCTTCTAAAGCGGAATTAGTGCACTTTTAACAAAAAAAATGCATACTCGGAGATATATATATTTTTTAAATCACGTTTTTTTTCTGGGATAAAATCTACTTTACTCTACTCGAAAACAGTTTTAAAAGGTATATTTTGAAACTACAAACAATAACAATAACAATAACAATAACAATATATTTATTCTGAAATAATAGTTTACATTTCATGGTAGTTTACTAATAGTACGAGTACTAATCAAAGGTAAACACCAATTAAATAATAATAGCAATCATATAATAATAATAATAGTAACAACAATAATAATATTAACAAATATCACATTCATATATTAAACAATTCCAATAAGTAATAATGACGGTAATAAAAATGCAAATAAAATGTAAGTAATATTAACATCACATATAATAATAATACTAATAACAATAGTAATAATAATCTATTATAAGCCTAAGATTTTAATTTGCGTATTTTTCTATCAAAAAGTCAAAAAGACGGGTTTTAAATTGTGAAAAAGTGTCGAGGGATTGAAAATGAAAAGGTAAATTATTCCATGATTTTACGCATTGGTTTGTAATAGAATTATCACCGTATTTTACCGAACAGCGATTTGGGATAGATAATTTAAAGTTACTCAAAGATCGAAGGTAATAACGAGAACTTTTTTTAGTGGTAAAAAAATTGGAGAATGACGGAGGGAGGTTTACTTGTTTATGATTCCAGACAAATAGACAATTTAATAGATAAACAAGATCACATAATTTGAGTATTTTTGATAGAAAGTAAAGGATGTCAGAGTTAGAATGATACTGTTGAAAGAATATTATTTTTAAAGCTTTGTTTTGTAGGTTACATAACCTTAAAAAAGCATTAGACTTGCATTGTCCCCAAACAGCTTGTTGAAGTTGCTTAATAGGTTTATAATAGTAAAGGCTTACAACAACCTACATGTTTTTTATTATATATTTTAAATGATATATATATACATATATATATATATATATATATATATATATATATATATATATATATATATATATATATATATATATATATATATATATATATATATATATATAACAACAATCAAATGTAATTGTTAAAGAAAGTTCATCATCTGCATTGGATAATGTTATAATTGTCAGTGTCTCTTCAGTTGACCCACTGTGTGTGCAACAGTCATTATATTTTGTTAGTTGCACTGGCATTGCTTCAATTCTTGATCAAAATATTCTTAGAAAAATGAGCGATTCAGAAAAAGTTAACTTCTTGGACAATTGTTGGAAGCCATCTGCTAATTTCATATTTGAAAAAGAGAGTTTCACAATTGCTCGAGGTAAGACAAAAAGTATTTCTTTTCATTCAATATGGTTTGATAATTTCAAATGGCTAAGATACAGTAATCAAAATAGTTACAAAGGTGGATGCCTGTGTATTATTCTTGAGAGTATCTGAAAAAGAGAAATTGGGTGTTTTTGTTAAAACACCATTTTTAAACAACAGCAAGTCTAAGGAGCTTCTAAATAGCCACGAATCAAATACATATTACCAAATAAGTATGAAACGGTTATCAACTACCAAGGCACGCTTAGTAAATCCAGCATTGTGTATCGACTCAGCAATTAATTCAATGACTGCTGAAAATATGAAAAATAATCAAAGGGTGCTACCAACAATTATTGAAGCTGTCATGTATTGTAGACGCCAGCAAATCGCACTGCGAGGCCATAGGGATGATGCCATTCAACTTTTTGAAAATCCGACAACAAAGGGAATTTTATTGCCATGATCCGTCTTCTTGCAGAACAAAATCCAGTTTTAAAGGAACACTTATTTAATGGACCGAAAAACGCACTTTATACTAGCAAAACTATACAAAATGAGATAATCAACATTGTTGCTAACTTGATTCGTGACTATTTTCGTAAGTATCTAAAAGCTTGTTCACATTTTTCGATAATTGCCGATGAGACAAACTTAGATGATCAAGAAATTATTTTGGTCTGTATTCCTTTTCTTGACACATTTGAAGAAAAGCCTAAAAAGATGGAAGTTGTTATTCGATTGGTGAAGACTGAGAGAATCATAAGAGAGTGTATTGCACTGTCTATCAAAAATGCACTAGAAGAATAAAGTATTAACATCAAAGATTGCAAATGACAAGCATGTGATACAACGGCGTCTATAAGTTCAGACAGAAAAGGGGTACAGACTTTTGTTAAAAATTGGGCACCTATGCAGACTATCAAGGATGTATCCTTCATTCCCTAAATCTAACAATTTGTCATGGATGTGAGATTTCATACATTAGAAATATGATGGATTTCTGCCAACAACTGTTTTCATTTTTTGAAAACTCACCAAAGCGAAAACGCTTTCTCTAACGAGTTGTTTCTACTCAAGCGCTTGAATTGAAAAAGGACAAAGTTGAAGAACCTTCGCAAAACACGATGGGTTGAACGTCACAGCACATTCAATACTATTAATGAACTTTACACTTACATTATTTACACTCTTGATGAAATTGTAACACCATCAGATGATCAGATGACATTGATCTCTATGATGGTTTAGAACCAAAAAGTTGGAATTGGGATTCTGAGACTCGGTCAAAAGCCAATGGATTACAACACACATATAGTAATTACGACCACATTATTAATTTTGTTGTAGCAAAGAAAGGTTTACAGCCTATGCAACCAATTGTATCATGTCTTCAGGGTGAGTTAATGGAGGTTTATCTGGCCTTCCAAAAAGTTTCCCAAATTTCTTCTTTCTATTCTACTCTCCGTACAAATGCTGATGACTGGTTTTCAACCATTTATCTCAAAGTCAAGAAAATTGCGCAGTCTGTAAATTGTACTGAAGAAACTCCAAGGCTTTGTAGTCGTCAAATCCATCGCTTAATTATACCTGCTACCTCACCTTTTGAGTACTACAAGCATTACGCTTGTAGTACTTAAAAGGTGAGGTAGCAGGTATATTTAAGCGGTGGATTTTAAGAGTAGCCATTCCATTCCTTGACAAGGTTTCATCTGAGTTGGCAGCACGCTTTACAGAAAATAAGAGAGTTTTTTGATTCCAGAAGTTATTATCACCAAAGAAAATGAAGAGTTGGTAACATTGTCAAAGCAACATGCGGATAAATGATATGAAGTTTTTCGAAACCCATATGATCTGAATAATTTTTTTTCAGGTGCTTACAAATCAAAACACAAATAACGAAAATCAACTTTTTAATAAGTGATAAAACAAGGCAATATAAAACTGCGCACAGTTAAACTGTTCAACTATTTCTGTTTTAAATCAAGATTCATCTCACTGATATTGTTTACAGCTGTGTCAACAGCTTGTCCACTAAAGCGTTTTACAATTGCGTCTGACCACTACAGGTAAAGAAATCTCAGAATGTTAAGATTCTGCTAAACTCCAAATATTTGAGCATATACTTTGTTTTTACTTCTGTAAGTTAAAAAAATACACCTGCTAGATTGCCAAAAAGTTTTATTACTATTTTAATACAGTTTTTATATGTTTTTAAATAAATATTTAGGACATGCTTTTTTCGTTCGGGACCTCAGAATTTCAGGGTAGTATTGTTGGGTAGGCTCTCTTGTCAAACCCTTATTCCGACGCTGTCCTTGAGGTCCGAAAATGTAAAAAAACGACTTTTTCATTTAAAAGAGAACCTACCCACCCCAAACCCTCAGTCGTTGTTTACACACTCCGCTGCATGTTCTCTCTAAAAATTAGTTGGTGTATGCGCGCACCGCTGCGCAAATCCCTATATACCCCGTTTTGCTCTTTTCGTAGAAACACGAGTTCGCGGACGCAAAGGACACTCAACGTCGGAATAGGGGTTTGACAAGAGTGCGTTTCGTATTGTTGCCAATATTGCTTCGTTAATCATGAATTTCTGCTTACATTATTTATTTTTAATGCTGAATATATTTTTAAATGGTTTGTTTGATTATCTTTTATACTTTTTTCATTCCACCACACAATGCTAAGTTAAGGGACCTCAAAACGCTAGGTAAATAAAAGTTAATTTATACACAAAAAAGTTATTTGCAATCAATTTTTTCTTGACGTTATAAAATGGATATTCTGTTTATAGTTTCATGTCAAAACCTCTTTCAAAACACACTTTAGTATGTTTTCTTTGTTTGTTTTTGAACAAATATATAAATTAAACTAAAGTGTGTTTTCTAAAGTATACGACGTAAGTGTGTTTTTATATTGCTTTGCAGTAGAGAATAAATAAGAAATGGGAAAGTTCTTTAGAATTAAACCAACAAGCAAATCAAGATGCAATGTTCTAAGAGATGTCATAGTGATGAAAAGTAAGCAGTTAGAGTAAGCAGTTGAGTGGTGCCAAATTAACTATAAACGTGGTTGGGCTGCAGTTAATTCAGGAAGATTTCCACTAATTAACGATCTTAGAACAATTGATGGTATCATTGCAACTGGAAATAAGAAGGAATATTGCTCAATTTTTACAAAAGATAAAAAAAAATTGTTAGTCTGTTATATAAAAAACAAGAATAGGTAATATGTACACATAATTGAAAAATAATTTTTATTTAATAAATTGTTATTATCTGTAATAAATTCCTTGTTTTCATATTGTTAATCAAGAAAATTAAGCTCATACTGTTTAGTTTTCTTGTATTGTTATTTAAATAATTTATTTAGGTGTTTTCGAGGTCTAAACAAGTTGGAATTGACAAGAATAATGTTGAATATTTTGGGAGTAAAAAAGGAAGCCTGTAGAGACCTCCGTGGACTTCAAATTACTAAGTTATCACCAAATGCTCAACGAGCACTCCAAACAAAGAAGCTTAGCAAGTCTTTTTGGAAGCGTTGGAATGCAAAGTATGAAAAGTACATTACCAAAAATAGACAAAGAACTATATCCATGAATCGTGCCCTTAACTCAAGTTTTTTGCAAGATTTTGCCACAAATAGCATATCTGAATTTTTGTTTTCGCAACCATTAACATTTTTTTATTCTGTGTTATGTTCGTCATATTCTGAAAACACATCAAATAGAACTGAGAATTGCATTATATTAGACAAGCTCTATATTGTATTATAAAATGTTTAAGCATTTTTAAAAAATTTACAGTTTTCTTACAATCAAATCATCAAAAATGGTCAGATTTGTGCAAAACATAAAGTAGTCCTTCTTATCTTACTTCACATTCCATAATAAAGAGTTTAAGTAGAACTGTTGGTGTTGTTCAATTTATCCCTATAAATTATTTGTGGCTTGTTGTACCTGTTTGTCATTATATGCTTCTACATATATAATTGAACTAAATACATGATTTTATTACATGAATTTAAAATTATAGGCTGATGTTTTAAATACATACATACATACACACAAATATATATATATATATATATATATATATATATATATATATATATATATATATATATATATATATATAAATATATATATTTATATATATATATATATATATATATATATATATATATATTTATATATATATATATATATATATAATATATATATATATATATATAAATATATATATATATATACATATATATATATATATATATATATATATATATATATATATATATATATATATATATATATATATATATATATATATATATATATATGTATATGTATATTATTTTTTATTAATATCTTAGCAAGATCTTTTAAAGATCTTTATAAGATTTATAGTTTTTTCCCGTCATTTATTTCTTAAAAAGATCTTAATAAGATCTTAATAATCTTAGATCTTAACAAATTATTCAAAAAAAATATTTCTGACAAATCTTATTAAGATACTAATAAGATCTTACTAACTTATGTAAGATAAGAAAGATCTTACAGATCTTAGTAAGATTTGCAAGGTTCATCGCTCTAGGTCCACATTCTTTCCCAATATTCGTGAATTATTCCTCATTCTGTCAACTTTGCCAATTGGCAGTTGTGAGGCGGAGCGTTCATTCTCTTGCGTACGCCGCATTCATTCATATTTACGAACAACAATGACAACTGATAGATTGTCAGATTTGTGTGTGATTGGGATGCATTATAACAATTGACACTACTGTGTATAAATTGTAAATAACTTCATTGCACTACATCCATGTAGGATGCAAGTACAATCTCTTTTTTATGACTGTGTTTTGTAGTTTATGCTTGTATATTATGTTTCAATGAATAGATAATGTGCTTTGGATGGCAAATAATTATTTCTAAAACATAGAAAAAATTATAAAATTTTGTAAGTTAAAATCAAGTATTTTTTTATAATGTAGCCACCCCCTCCTTCAAAATCCTGGATCCGCCATAGCGATCATCGAATGTTACAAATCTTGAAAATAACGACAAAAATATGTATATTAAAAATACTGTGGAGTGTCCTCTTTGATGCCATTAAAGTTATTCATTATATATTTTTTTTCATGGGGGTACTTAGGCGCAAGTTCGTTTCACTTATTTAGTAAAGGGAATGGGGATGAAATTATATGGTATTTTTCCATCAAGCATAAGTTGCATGACTAACCACCAGGTTTAAACGGTTCAGCCTGGTCTAAAATTTTCCAAGAAAGGACAGGATTTAAACCTTTCTTTTTAACATTCCACACATTTAGAAAGTTTGGTAGAGTTTAACCCACTTTCATAACGAAAGGAATTTTTATGCTTGTAAAAGCGATCTTTTAAAAGTTTTTACTGTAAGCCCAATATAATAGCTACCTTCATCTTATGGGTTTGTCTTAACATTACATAAATAAATGACATTTTTGATTAAACATTTTCCGTTAAGTGGACATACATTAATCTGTCGACAATTGCACGTTGGAGTATTAAGGCTTGAAGAATTTGATAAAATTTTATTGTTATGTGAAGTGATGATGTTGTGAATATTTTGAAGACAGCTATAGCTAATCTATAGCTAGATTGTTTCGGTTAAACAGTTTATGAATATTATGAGATTTTAGGAAGTTTTTATCAATTAAATTTAGGAAAAGTTTTGCTACGTTTGTCTTGACATAATTTGAAAGCAGAGGGTTAAACCAAATAATATTTCGTGCCCGTGATTTTTCATTTTTTTATAGAGTCGTTAGCAACGGCAGTAATGTTTTTTTTAAATCCACTAGAGTAGGGGCACTATTGTAAAAAGTAGCGGCTTGATTAAAAACTTCATTACTTGAGGATATACTTCTTATACGGTTAGATATCCTTGAGGGAATAGCTTTAAGAATGAAAAAAGAAAACTTTACTAGACGACAATAAAAAATTTAAAAAAACTTTAAGAAAAACTTTAAGAAAACTTTACTAGACGACATTAACAAAAAAGTTAGAAATGCTACGCTTGTCCATCAATGGCATTGTACAAATGACGTTTTAAAATGGGTACATGACATCAATGAAAAAAAAAACTGTATTTTTGTTCAATATGATATTGTTAATTTTTGTCCTTCCCTTTTCAAACAGTTTCTTCACGATCTTTAGTTCACGCCTAAAATTTTCCTCAAATTTCAGATAAGAAAACTGATATTATTTATCATTCTAGAAAATCCTTACTTTTTACCAGAAATAATATGTGGGTTAAAAAATCAGGAGATTCCGATTTTGACGTGACAATAGGAAGCTTTGATGGAGCTGAGTTATGTGAACTGTTAGGAATAAAATATGGGTTAAGTACCAACGGTTTGATGAGATGACGGGCTTTGTTGTTTCAATGGTATTAGTGGACCGCAATTGGAAATAATAAAGAAAAACCTTATCATTCTTTTTAAAGAAAAATTCAAACTAAATATAACAATAAAATCTAATTTAAAAACTGCTAACTTCCTTGACGTTTCGCTCAACTTGTCTGACAATTCTTTTCAGCCATATAGGAAAGCAGGTGACATCCCATTATATATCAATGTTAATTCGAACCATCCTCCAAACATTCTTAAAGCTATTCCCTTAAAGTCAGTATTAAAATAAATAAATATGAATTCATAGGAGGCATAAGATAAAGAAAAAACATTATTGCTTTTGTGTAATCATAATTTATGTAGTGGTGATAATAAACGTCTCCTCATAATCGCGTTTATTATTACCGGCATTTCGAAGAGGCTCAGCACCAATACCTAGTTTATCCCGTCATCACTATTTGTGCTTTACCCCGCGATTTACGCCTACTCTTAAAAAAAGACATCACAGCAAAACAGCCAAAACCCTAACCTCAACCAAATTTGCAAAGCACTAAAATTTTTGAAGAAATATTATGGATAGTGAGAGTGATAGTGAAAGTGAATTTAATACCAAATAATTAATCAAATTTAAAATAAAATAAAATATATACAAGATAATAAGATAAATATATAAAATAAAACATAAATAAAGTTTTTTTTTTCTATGTTCTAAATCTGATATTTTTACTGTAGCTAGGTATACATTTAACTTTCAGGAATGACCCTCACTATGCCACTGGGTACTACGAACGCCACACTATGCGTCGCTTTAATACAAAATGAGGAAATAGGTTTATAAATAAGGAAGCATTCAACATATTAAACTGATTTTTTCACAAAACACTAAATTTTTGTTTATTTTTCTATATTTAAAAGAAAATATCTAGTTTTTATAAAAAAAAGTTTCGGTTCATCCGGACTAATTTCTGACTATTCCGGAAAATTATATATGCCCGGATATTTTTATTCAAAAAACAGTAGGCACCGATAATTTATAAAATTTTACATACTTTTTAAGAAATTTTAAAACAATATCATTAAATATAATATTATTAAAACTATCAACAGATCTGCTATCATCTGATTTTTTGTTCGTGAGTTTCTTACAAAGTTTCTCAACGTTTTAATAGATGTTTTTTAATAACTAGTGGCTAAAAAAAGTTGTTTTTTTAAAAATTTAACGCAGAATAGCTTATCAGTATAACATTTCAGTTCATGATATAGATCTTTCTAGATTAGTTAATTACTAGTTAAAAATTATAAAATTATTTCTTTAAATTAAAAAAAACAACAACAACAAAACTTTGAATTATTAAATAGTCTAAACTACTAACAATAGCATAACATTAAAAAAAAAGCAGTCAATAGAGGTACATATTATAAGGCACAAACAAATAACTAACTGTATCCCTTGTCATTTCTGCCAAAAAAAGTTAAACATGCATGACTTACTTGTGCAGCTTTGCTTTTTTTGTTTCTGGCTTCAATAGCAATCTTAGACAAAGATGATACTTAAAATATAGATTGTACAGATTGTGACAAAGGTATAGTTTTTTGTAAAATGTTATTAGTAATGATTGCAAATAGATATTCAGATTTCTGATTGAAAATTTATACACACTCTTGTAGTCGTGGTGTTCATATCAATGAGTCTCGAAACAACTTATTTATTCAGATTTAGGTGCTCTTAGTGGTACAATAAAAATAATAAAAAAACTTTTGTGGAACATAGTAAAAACAATTTGTGTGTGTGTGTGTTTGTGTGTGTGTGTGTGTGTGTGTGTGTGTATATTGAAAACTGAAGATTTATATATACATATATTCTCAGTTTTTAAGTGAAATGCAATAAGTCTAAAAGCATTATTTTGAGATAATGAACAAATAAGTTTTTGTATAATAGTTAAAATAATAAGTTTTTGTGTAGTAGTTAAAATAAAAAATCTTAATAACTCATTAATAATTGATTTATTAAATTTGTATGGTATATCAAATGATTGCATTTATCTAGAATACCGACATTAACGGTTTTTTTCTTGATTTAAAAGAATAAAATATGGCTGATGATTGCCGAAGGGCATGAAACTTCAAGTCCCATCACAAAGTTGTATTTTTCCAAATAATCAAACTCTTTTATTATCATTATTATTATTATTATTATTATTATTATTATTATTATTATTATTATATATATATATATATATATATATATATATATATATATATATATATATATATATATATATATATATATATACAGATATATGTATATATATATATATATATATATATATATATATATATATATATATATATATATATATATATATATATATATATATATATATATACAGATATATGTATATATATATATATATATATATATATATATATATATATATATATATATATATATATATATATATATATATATATATATATATAGGGAGATATATAAATCTATGCATACCTTTATATACTAGATCCATAAGTATAAAGTAGTAAATCGCCTTCTTTTAGTTTACGCTCAATTTGCTTGATAAGTTGATTACCTTGCTTAATCAGATATTTTTATAATTTGCTGTTCCTCCCCATATAACCTAATCTATATTTCAGGATCTTTTTCTAAGCTTTTATATATTAGTTGTTATTATTAAAAAAAAAAAAGTAGGCATTTATTTATTTAGCACTATATGTATTATATATATGTGTATATATGTGTATACATGTGTGTATGTGTGTGTGTGTGAGTGTGTGTGCGTGTGTATGTGTGTGTGTATTCATAGCTTATTTAAGTTAAATAAGCTATAAACACAGACACGCACACACACACAGACTTTTACACACACACACACACACACTATTTAGTTAGTAGCTAAATATAAAACATCAAAAACCAACAAAGTAAATATCTCTTGTAAGTATAATATGTTTTGTATATAAAGTTATTATTATTGTTAAATTTTAACAATAATAATAACTTAATATATAATAACTTAATAACAAGAGATATTAGTTTAATAATAATAACTTAATATCGAGATATATTTACTTTGGTTTTTAATGTTTTATATTTAGTTACTAACTAAATATAAAACATCAAAAGAAAAAAGTTGTTTTTAACTAAGTTAGAAACAACTTTTTTCTTTTTCTACAATTTTTTATAAAATAAAAAGTCAGACTTTCAAAAATGTTAAAACTCACTGTGTTATTAGCATAAAGTAATAAAAATGTGGACTGGAGAAAATAAATTTTTGCTTGTAAAAATATACCTAGGAGGAAAATTATCAATCAAAAAGATCGCTGAGATTAAAAATAAACAATTGAAAACATTACACCGCTCTTAACTGAGAAGTTTCAACTTACCGCTCTAGAATAAATGTACCGCTCCGCGTCTAATGTTGTTTTTTATACTTATTAACTAACCGTTTTTAATTAAACCCACTACAATGAATCAATATTACACTGTGTTACTACAGAGGTAGCCAGTATATTATTTCACTTCTAACAAGTCTATTTATCGTAGAAAATTTATAATAAATAAAAAACTGGCTACCTCTGTAGTAACATTGTCTAATCAATCAATCTTTAGGGACACACAAAAGCAATGATTCGAACATTTTTTTTTCTTATCTTAGTTTTTAATTTACAAAATGTATAATTTTTTTGATAATATGCAAAAAAAATTGAGGAAATTCATAAATTATAGTATCTAATATAATGATTTAGTAAAAACCCGGGTTTCTTTACCCTTGAAAATCCCGCACTTAAAAAGACAAAATTTAAAAAGTTTAAAATAAATATTTTTTTTTTAACTATTGCTAACTTGTTTCAGTTGAAAAATATTTAAAATATTAAAATTAATTTTTTTTTTCAGAAAAATAACTAAAGTCCTATTTCCGCTTCGCGTCGCATAGTGTTATTAAAAACACTATTACTGTTAAAAAAAAAAGGGAAAATTTTAAAAATTTAAAAATTTTAAAATTTAAAAATTTAAAAAATTCAAAATTTAAAATTTAAAAATTTTAAAAATTTTAAAAATCCTTTTTTTTTTAAAATAAATCAGCAAGTAAAATTTTGTATTCTTACTTTCTAAAGATTATAATTAGTTAATTTAATAATTAGTTAATTTAATAATTAGTTAATTTAATAATTAGTTAATTTAATAATTAGTTAATTTAATAATTAGTTAATTTAATAACTAGTTAATTTAATAATTAGTTAATTTAGTAATTAGTTAATTTAATAATTAGTTAATTTATGTTATACAAAGCCACAGCCTTGTTAAACTCATCATCAACTGAGTATACGCATCTTTACCGAACTCGCATTTCGGCCACTTTTGTGGTTTTTACGGTAAATGATGAGTTGTAGGAACTATGATGACTGAAAACTGTCTAGTAGTTGTTTAAATTTTTCAAGTGATGTTGCCTCGATGACATTATCTGGCAAAGCATTCCAGTCATTGACTACGCGGTTGTTAAAAAACTTATGTCTGATTTCGCAGTTCCTGACAATCTCGCGATGAAATCTGATTTGAGGTTGAGCTCTGGGTGCTATGCTGCCAGGCATTACGTGCTAATCAATTAGGTTTAAATTTTTGAGAAGCTTATGTGTTTGAATAAGACTGCCTTTTTTCTGTCTGTCTTCAAGAGTAGTTAATTTCATGATTTTACATCGAATTTTGTAGTCTTTATTTTTCAAAGCATGAGGAACGTTCGTGGCGTTGCGTTGTATCTTTTCAATTTTTTTTATGTCACTATCAAGGTAAAGGTTCCAGGCTTGTATGGCAAACTCCAGATGTGGTCTAATATATGCAGCATAAATTTTTTTCCAAATGTCATTGTCTCTTGATACAAACGTGTGTTTAAGAATTCCAAGCATATTACCTTTTTAAAAAAATTTTCTGATCCTATGATACTAAAAAAAATTAATAATTAACTAATTTCGGCGAAAGCAGAAAACTATTTTAGTTTAACTGTCGATTACAATTTTATATTTTTGAGATCTTCACTTCCTACAAATATATAGACTATTGCCAGAATCAGTCAAAAACATGCTGATTAGGGGTCGTCCATAAATTACGTCACGCAGTTTTTTACAATTTTGGACCCCTCCCCCCCCCTGTCACAGATCGTAACGCTTAACTGACCCCCCCCCCCCTAAATTACGCAACAAATTCTACCCTCCCCCTCCCCAAAAAAAAATACAATTTAAAAAAAATGTTTTATATATTATAATAATTAAAATTTACTTAGCAGTTTTTTATTAATTAATTGTTACAGTTTAAAATCAACGTTATTATTCGTACGCGTGTACAAATTATTATTTTTACGGAGTACAAATTTTGAATTAATAATAAAAAAACTATTCAACGAGCAAAAAATTAAAATAAATATTTTTAATAAACCGTCAAAGTAGTCTCGTGGACAGAACAACAATTGTTGATCTGTCCACGAGAAAGGTAAAAACTACTTGACTAGGTAAATGTTTATTTTATAAATGTTTTATATAAATTTTATATAAATTTTATATAAATTTTTATATAAGTTTTATATAAATTTTATAAATGGGCCTTGAGACGATTTAATAGCGGTTCGCAATAAACAGTTCTGTTTGCCCCTAATACAATCTCAAGTAGTTTTTACCTAGAAAGGTAAAAACTACTTTACTAACAGAAAGCAATGCATAACCTATCAAACAATGAGACCAAAAAACTTAAAGTTTTTTTTTGAAACAAAAAACTTATAAGTTGCAGGGTTCCTCAAGGATCTATCTTAGGACCATTATTGTTTCTAGTGTATTTAAATGACTTATTTTTAGCCTCTAAAAAGTTTCATCTTATATTGTTTGCTGACTTTTAGTTCAAAAAAAAGATTAAGGTGAGTTTCCCCACTCATCCGTTTTTTCACGGGAACGGAAAAGGGACGGGAAAAATAATCACGTGGGCATGCGTAGAATAACTTTTAATATGTCTGAAGAAAAACTACACATTTTCACATTATTATTTATCCCTTTCCTATCCCGTTCCCGTGAAAAACCGGATGAGTGGAAACTCACCTTTATATGGTACATTAATAATGGTGAATAAGCTACTTACGCACAATTTTGGGAGTGTTTAGCATATATTTAAAGCCCCTTTATTTATAATGAGTTGCTAATAAATTATGTTTATTAACCAACCCATTCTAATTTAGGTAATTATGGCACTTATTACTAAAAAATTACGATGTTGTGACGGGAGGGGGAGGTAGTCAAAACGCTCAAAAATTGCGTGACGTAATTTGTGGACAACGCCTATACAACTGCTGCGTCACAAAATTGTGTACCTCCTCCCTCTTGTAGCAAATCGTCACAAAAAAACTCAAAACAATAACTTTTAAACAATAGCGCTTAGTTTTTTGCATTTTCAAATAAACAGTGAGCATGCTTACTTCCCTTTTTTTTAATACATTTAAATATAATTATAAAAATAAAATTTACATAAAAACATAATTATAAAAATTTAAATATAATTATAAAAATAAAATTTACAATAAAAAACAACTTTTCACAAACGAAATTTATCAAATTCATCTTTAAAATTACCATACATATAATATATTATTCAGCATTTGTCCAAGGTGAGCAGAAGTGTTCATCCATTGTGTAAAGTGACAAGGAAAGATTTTTTTCTGCATCTTCTTTTGGTATGATTTGAACATTAGATAGATCAAATTCATTTTCTTCAATCCAATCGATATGCTCTCCGTTTTCCTCAAACAAAGTTATTGCCATAAGCTCAGTTTGACAACGAGCAGCCAAACAAGTAGGCACTTGCCTGATTATGTCAGACGCAGCGTTGATTGGTGATTTTGAATTTACATGGACAGTAACGTGTTTCTTCAACAACACATTGGATGCAAAATACATTGAACATTTTTTACAACATCAACTCTTAAGAAGAGATTGCACAGATGGACAAAATAGATCATAAGGTAAAACTCTATAAACCGTTGTCAGGTGAGACATAATATCATCTAACTTTAAGGTTTTTCCAACAAAAAGGGACGGAAACTTGTGGTTTTTATGGCATAATGCGTTCGGAACTTGTAGCCATCCCTCTGGGAGTTGTGATAGCGGTATCAATGGTGGAAAAAAACGATCAGGTATGACTGTAAAATATGATCATCTTGGTTGTTTACAGCAATTCCAATTTTCACACTTAACTATTTGGAGAAAATACTGGCTTGTTTGCACATGACGTGCATACCAGAAGCTGTCCTTGGTTTTTAAAATACTAGATAAGATTTCTGATTTTTCTGGAACAATAAATTCAGCAACTACAGGAAACTTGTCAATTGAAACATTAGACCAGATTTCCGCAAGAGTTTCACCAGCATACTGGAAATTTATTTTTTCAAGAGTATTATCTATCGTAAAACCAGCATTGTTAAGATGATTTCCATAATGATCATGAGGTAGGATTACGCCTGAAAGTTCACAACTTAATGGTGCCATTCTTCTCTCGACTCGATTAAAAGCGCTCCTTCCTGGTGCATTTGCAGCCAAAAATAGACAATCCAGATCATGCTCAAGAAAATGATGAACTGCTACCTCAATTACCTTCAAAAAATATTTAATTTATTATGGAATTAACTAAGCTAATTTTATTTATTTACTTAAAAGAATACCTTTTGATAACGAGGGTTCTCATCTGGACCTCCATCTATAGTCAAGATGACAACTGGTTTAACAAAAGAACCATTTTTAGAAAAATCCTGAAATTCTTTTAAGTCAATTAATTTATTAAAATTAAGAGCGTGAGATAAAGCAGTCGATGACGAATGTTTTCCAGATCTAACAGCTATATATGTAGGGCCGGAGTAACCTACGAAACTCGGTTTCCCTAAACTATCTGAGTGCACTTCAATAGCAGCGTACACAGATGGGATCAATTTGTGTTTATTAGCAATAACCCAGTCATGATCTGGTAGAGCCACTCTATACTCCATATGCATAAGCAACGGCGCTTGCTTATTTGCAGCAGTCAATCCAATCGGAACCTAAAACAATGTGATAATAATGCAGATTAAATTTTTCTTGATATGAAAAATTAAATTTGTCTTTGTCGTCCTGACTGAGGAAAAAAACTTCTTTTGGACTAAGAAGTGATGATATCTTTTCAAGACGCCTGATTGTTTCTGTACAGAATTTCCCATCAATATGTTTGGCATGTTTATCATTTTGGGATCTAATTATCTTAACTGGGACAGTTTTTATATGCCTCTTCCCTTCTTGAGTTGCGCTGTTTCTTGGATTCAATCGAAGATAAGTACCGCTTTTACTAACTTGAAAACCTAGCTTATCTATTAAAAAGCTATGCAAATCATCTCCATCAGCAAAAAAGACTTAAGAGATTTTTTGGCTGATGGAGATGATTTGCATAGCTTTTTTAAGGCTTCCCTCCTATTACTTGTGAACTTACGGCTTCTCAATATTGAATCTTTTTTCTTCTTTAAGTTCTTTTCTAGTTCTTTTTTCTTCTTCTTCTTTGCTATAAGCTCATTTTCTTGCGCCGATGTTAACTGTCCGCATTCTTTTCTCTTCATCAACCCAATCAAATCTCCATTAATCAAATTAATTTCTTGTTTTGGCGAATCTTGAACTTTTCTCTCCGTCTTAGCACATCGCACAATTAAATCTGCAGTACTTGATTTGGTTACTTGAGTTGGTTCTGCTACAAAATCAATTTCATCAGAGGCTACGTGGAATAAAGTTTTTGATTTATCAATTTCAACAAGATTTGATTTGTTTTCTTTGTCATGAGAAATTGAGGGTTTTGTTGCAGTTGACGACCATTAATTAAACAAATTTCCTTTTACTTTCATTGCTTTTGTTGATTATGTGTTTAATAATTCTTTTACTTTTTCAGGAAGTTTTTCATCATTTTTTATTTCATTCCATATGATGTTTATTTCTTTTTGGCAGTTTTGTTTTGACTTAGAATGGCCATAAGCTTTTACAAATCCTTCGTATAGTTCCTTGTATAAAACGCCTCGATCCATTCTTTAATTTGATTATAAAAAAATTGTTAACAATAAAAAATAAAAAATAAAAATAAAGATTCTTTATTCAGTTTTGAAAGACAAAACAACAAATAAATTACTACGACAAAACAACAGGTAAAGAAGATTATATGTAGAATTTGATTTTTAAAAGCGCACATGTTTTAAATACTATAACACTGTGAGCCACCGGTTAAGAAGGTTCCGCCTATTCAAAACAATTTTTAATTACTTAACAAGCTATTAGCTCGTTAGGGAATTAAAATTGCTTCGAATAGGCGGAAAAAAATTTAATTTTTTTTTATTTGATTTTTTTACATGAAATATAATAAACCTTTACATTATTTAATATAATAATTTTAACATTAAATGTAAATAATCTTTGAGTTATTCAAACCGGGAGGTAAATTACGCCGCGGTTTAGGGATATAGGAGGGGGGAAATTGGATTAGTGGTTTTGTGTTAAAAGTTACAATGATTTGACTAGAGAATAGGGGTTAAAAAGGTAGAAAACTGGGTGACGTAATTTGTTAAGAACCCCTTTTTCAAAGTTTTGTTAATTTGAATAGATTTTTTGCTTTTAATGACAAATAAAGTAGTCCAATATTCAAAGTATTTCTTTTTGTTAATTCTTAGCCGCTCTTACAATTTAAAAATCAGTTCTGTCATGTATTTATTTAGCAACTTACAATTATCATATTTATAACAACAATCATCAACTAATGCTTACATTATTTATATAAAAAATTGTTGCGTCACGAAATCGGATACCCCCTCCCCCTCGTAATAAATCGTCACAAAACTACTAACCCCTCCTCCCCCCTAATGCGTGACGTTATTTATGGACGACCTCTTATACAATTTAATTTTAAAAATTCTAATTGTAAACAATTTTATAATTACTGTGTGAATAACAACCCTTCATTAAACGAAGTTGTAAGCAAAACCAAATATAATTTCACGTAAATTATTTTCAATTTAACTTATAATGTTTGTAATAATAAGTTGATTATTATCAACTAGCTGTAACCTAATGATCCGTAAAATACGGGTCTTGGTAAATCTATTCCACATCGACCTTTTCTATACTTATTCCTTACTTCAATATATTTTAGTAACAGGTAGAAAATTAATATATATATATATATATATATATATATATATATATATATATATATATATATATATATATATACATATATATATATATATATATATATATATATATATATATATATATATATATATATATATATATATATATATATATATATATATATATATATATATATATATATATATATATATGAAGGCCTGAAAGGAAGAACGATCAGAGTCACAAATTTAATTTTTTTGAGTTATTACCCTTTTGTTGTAACTCTGGGCTCATACTTTGTCTGCCTGAAGTGATTAATTAAAAAACAATTGGAATCTTGAGTTATTGGAATTTTAAAAAACACCACACATTGGCAGAACGATTAGAGTCCAATGTTTACAGCGACAAAACAATCAAGCTAGTTATTAGCTGGCTTTTTTTGTATCACATAACATGTGCGAGCCAACCCCATGCTGTTTTGTTAGATGCCTGCTTTAAAGATGGCGGAAAACACCACTGATCGCCCGATCATTAGTGACAAACCAAAGAAAAGAAATTAGAATTTTACTCATAAAGAACAGCTAAAATTTTAACGCATATCAAGTCATTAGAGAGGGGAAGATTGCAAATGCAATATGAAATGTTTTGAAGCAATTACTGACAAAGTAAAAGTCAATCAATTTAATTTGATTAGTAGCAAAGATGCGTAAGACTCCCACCTTGCTTTCTTTGTTCAGGTAAAGAATCTTTTTTCTACCCATCTCGAACAACAATAAGTAATACAAGACCTTCGGTTATTGTTCTATTGCATAATAAATCGACTTTAGCATTTGTTAGTTTTAGTTTTTTAATAATAAATTTACTAGTGTATAAAATTTCTGTATAAGATAGAAAGTTCTTTTGTTTCTTTTTTGGGGAGTTTTTTATATAATACAGCAGCACTAGCATATCTTCCATATTCTAGATTATGACTATTCTATGACCCTGTAAAATAGTATAAATATAGGTTCAATCGTGTTATAGCTTACGTGTACCGTAAACTTTCTACATTACTGTAAATTAAGTTTGGTATAACTGTTCTCCCTTTTGGTTGATTGGTAAACTTTCTTTTTTGACTTTGTTCATTTATTTAATACACTTTTATCTATGCTGTGGCCGTGTTTACGAGCCATTTTAAAACTAATTAAAATTAATAATGCGGTCATAGCAGGTTAAACATAATTTGTCATACGAAAAATATTAATTGTAGAGCTAAAGGAATGCATTATCTAAGTTATCTGACATCAGTTTTATAAACATCCGACAAAAAAATAATAACACCGAGTAAAAAAAATACTGCACACTTAATGCTCTTGATTCTTGAAACTACATGAACTGATATTTATTTAAAGGTGAAGGCATTGAAGAGGCGACGACCTCGCAAAGGTGAAGAGAATGCCAAATTGAGGGACTTCTCCTACGAGTACAAGGTCCGGTTTATTTGAACTGGTGTTTCAATTAAAACAAGAGTGTGTCACAAAGCATTCATAGTTCCGTTTTGAATCACAAACAGGAGGATTCAAACTATAAAATCTACTCTGTTAAAGACGGGTAAGCTTCATTTTATTTGTTATAAATCTATATGTCGCAAGAGTTGTGAAATAATGCTTAGTAATTGGTTACTCGTTTACTTTTTTTAAAATGTAACCTAAAAAAAAAAATTATTTAGGCTTATGTTGTGTTGGTGTGTTGGTTTTTCGAATAATAATACATTTTAAATATTGTTGGTGTATCTGTTTAACACAGGACGTCCACCAGTAGACATGAGAGGGAGACATCATATCAATCTCATTGATTATAGCCAGAAGAGTTGCAAGCAGTGGTGACCACATCCGGTCCTTCCGTGGTAGAAAGTCACAATATGCCATGGGTGCTACAAGAAAATTATGCTTGCCAGAGGACTTAAATGTTGCAAAGATGCATCAAATGTTTGTAAACACTTGCCCTGCATGTGAAGTTTCTTATCAAAGATATAGACATATCTTCAACACTACATTTGATATCAGACGTCTCAAATACGTCGCAAAAAAATATTCCTAAAAAAGTCACACTCAAAGGACACCATTTTTTATGGATAACCAAAACCGAGGTAATTTTTTTTAGCGCAAAAAATAATAATAATAATAATAATTAGAGATTAAAGTGCCATTATTTACAACAATCACAATAGTGATGAAGTAATTCAGAAGCACTAAAAAAACGACGCTCAGACAAGCATGCTCACTGGGAACTCCAGTGAGCGCAATTTGCGTTCGAAGATTCAATGATTCACTAAATTCTGCAATTCACACTACTTATCGCAACTGGCTACGTTCTTCATTGATGCACGAGCCTAGAGATCCACCGTTAAAAGTAAAAACTTATGCGTATAAAATAACTTATGCGTATAAAATTGCATTAAGAACATTGAAAGACAATGGTTGTTCATCGGACATTTGGCATCCAAATGTCCGATGACCAACCATTGTCTTTCTAACAACATTGTTTATCAAGCAACCGTTTGTTCAAACAATCCGGAGTACAAAAAAAAAGTGTATTTTGGACTCAGCGAGACATCTTTTAAAGTTCGATACGCAAACCACCTCAAATCTCTTAATTCAATGAGATATAAAAATGATACAGAGTTATCTAAAGAAATATGGAAATTAAAAGAAAAAAACTTTACACCTTTTGTGAGATGGAAAATTGTTAAACATTGCAAACCATTCAACCCAACATCAAGAGTGTGCAACCTCTGTTTGAACGAGAAGTTTCAAATTCTAATGTATAAAGGTAAAAACCTACTTAACACAAGGAGTGAAATAATCTCGAAGTGTAGGCACAAAAAAAAATTTCTTATTTCCTCCTATGATACCGCAGATTGATCCTGATTGGTTTACGTCACTTTTACGCCACGTGATACTCTTAAAACTTAAAGTTTTGTTTCGATGGAGTCATTAGAACTCACGCCACCGTAATATTAATTGTAATTTTAACATCTATTTTAAATTTTGTAATATATGAGTTATGTATTATTTTAATACTACACTACATAAAACGATATATATATATATATATATATATATATATATATATATATATATATATATATATATATATATATATATATATATATACATATATATACATATATATATATATATAT